AAAACTCCACGTCCAGCTCGGGCTTGCTGCGGCTCTGTGCGGCACGGTTGGTCTGGGACTCCTGGCTGAGGCTGGGGTCCGATTGCCGGGCGCGGGCCAGGCGCAGCATCACCGTGTTGTCTCGCTCGGACGGGGAGAAGGTCACGAAGAGCGGGGTGCCGTGGCAGACCCGATTGGCGTGGGTTTGGTGGCGCATGGTCGTGCGCACCTCGTGGGTGCCGGGGGTGTTCCGGCTGCGCGCCTCCGTGTTGTCCAAGACCTGCGGCTTTTTCTGGCTTTTGTTACATCATTATAAGGGTTCCGAGCCTACGTATGCAAGTTTTTTTCCCCGGTTGTACTATAGTCTTTACCTGCATCTTCTGTTGGTGTCGTCGGTTGACAAGCTGGGCTCTGGCAGTGGTTTTCCTGTTTTGCGCGCCTTCACGGCTGCCGGCTGCAGTCCGGTGGCGAAGCGCACCTTGCTCAGGTCTCCGTTGATGGCCTTCGTCTGGCCGTTGACGTCGAGGTACTTCCCTTTGACCAGCTCTTTCTGGATTTGCTTGCCGCCGTCCAGGATCTCTTGGCTGGTCAGTGCTCTGCGTCCGTTGTTGTCGTCGGGGACGCTGTAGATGAAGGTGTTCTGCTGCAGGTTCACCATGGTCCTGAAGAGGTAGTTCCAGAGGGTGAAGCCGAAGGTCCAGTCCCGCCGGAATTGGGTCTCGGCTCGGCGTTGCATGGCCGCCGCCCACGCGTGGATTTCCACTTGGGGGGCGTCGGGGTTCCTGCTCCTCCGCCGTTGCTGCCGGTCGTTGCGGGCTCCCTGCTGGTTATTCTTGACGTCGGGACAGGCGGTGCCGTGCGCGAAGCAGAAGCTGAAGGCCGTGGCGAAGTAGAGCGGCTGGAACTGGTCCACGAGCATGTTGCTCGTGCGCACCTCGTAGGTCTCCAGGATCTTCTCGTTCTTCTGCTTGCTTCGGAGCTGGTCCTCGAGGTCGTTCAGGGCGGCCGTGGCCACGGCGGTCTGGTCCTCTCGGTCTTGGTTGCAGCCTTCCGGAAGAACGGCGCGGGCGCGCTGGTTGGCGAAGATGGTGCCGGCTTGCTGCACGTCTTGTTCCTGGGCGTCCGTGGGGGCCGCCGCCTTCTGCGGCTGCAGTTTGTGGCTGGTCTCGTCCTCTTCTCTCATGCCGTGGATGACCTTCAGCACCTCCGGGGGCACGCCGCCCTCCGGCAGCTGTGCCGCGGCCTCGCGCACGGCTTCTTGTCGCAGGTGCTGAAAGGCGGGGTGGCCCAGGCGTTGCATGTCCAGGATGAGGTTGACGACCACTTCCCTCCGCACCGTCGCTTGGTGGAGCAGGGTTTTGATTTCTGACTCGCTGGTCTTGCCTGTTTTGTTGGTCTTCAGGAGGACCCTCACCACGTCGCCGAGTGCCGCCCCTGCGCGTGGTATGTTCGTTGGGGGCGGCTCTTCGTTTGCCGCTGCCGCTCGCTGCGTTTCCGCCACTCCTTCCTCGTGCGCTTGGGGGTTGCGCAGCACGTCTTCCCATGGCAGCGGGAAGGTGAGGGCGTTGCCCCGGGCTCCGAGGCGGTGGTTGGCGTTCTGGGCTTGCTCGTCTAGGGTGGTTCCCTCGCTGCGGTGCCGTGCTTCCATGGCCATGCAGACCAGCGTGGTGACGCAGGGGCTCGCACAGATCATCTCCATGACGGTGACCTTTTCTTCGTGTAGGCGTGCTGGCGAGTATCCGGTCCACATGTCGTTGCACAGGCTGAGGGGCGGCAGCCGGCCTTTTCGTAGCTCCTCCTCGCACTCGTTGCAGAGGGGCACTTCGCAGTGCTCGCAGAGTGTGTGCTGGCTGGGGTGCTCGGGGCGGGCTTGGCATCGATGGTCCTCCGGGCAGCACAGGATGTTGCCGAATCCGGGGATGGTCACCGTCCAGTCGTCGAAGTTGGCCACGTCTGTGAGCTTTGCGTCGCCGGCCAGGTCGTCGTAGTAGTCGAGGTATTTGGCGATGCTCAGCAGCTCGTGCAGTTTTGCAGTGGTCTCGGCGTGGTTGTCGTCGTTGCTGCCGGGGCTCTGGATGAGTTTGCGCCAGCTGATGCGGCTGCTGGCCGCCATGTCGGCTGTGCGCGGGTGAATGCAGGCGCAGCTGAAGCAAATGAGCGATTCCACGTTGTCCTTTCTGGTGGCCTCGGCGAAGCTGCGCAGCGCGCTTCTGTCCCGAGAGCTTCCCGCGACGGGCGCGGCCTCTCTGCATCGAAGTGCGACGGCCTCGTTGTAGACGCTGGTCAGGGCGTCTTTCGGCAGGGGCCCGGGCATGTGCTGGGCCACCAACTCCAGCTCCGGTGCGTGAGAGTCCGTGACATGCTCGTGGAGCTTTTCTTCCGTCCCAGAGAATAACGACCATTTGCATCCCTGGAATGCGCAGAAGACCTGCGGCCAGGCTTCGCCCTGGTCCACGTTCTCGGCTTTGGCTTCGGGTGGTATCAGTGGCTGGGCTCGCAGGGGGGTGCTTGCGAAGTGCTTGAGCGCATTTTCCAGCTTTCGTCTGGGGTGGTAGTGGGTGGGCTCCGTTGACTCCGTTGCAACGGGCATGCTGGTCAGCTCTTCGAGGAGGCTGGGTCCTTCCTCTGCTGCTTGGGGGGTGCCGCCTCTGGGTTCTCTGTGGCTCCTTGCGCCTGACCTTGCCGGGTGCGCTGAGCTTGGCCGGCTGCGGTTCTCTGGCGCTTGGGCGGGCGCGGCTCTGGGTGGGGTGGTGGTGGTGCTGCTGCTGCTGGTGGTGTTGGTGGTGGTGTTGGTGGAGTTGGTGGTGGTGGTAGCGGTGGTGGCGTCTGGTCACTGGGCACGAGCACATCGTAGTGGTCCTTCCCGTTGAACCAGAGGTGGATTGCGTGATAATAGACGTTCGGTACTGCGTGGGGGTGCCGTCGGGCCTCTTCGCGCACTTCCACATGCGTGCGCTCGCTCGTGCAGATCTCGCCGTCCGACGCCCGGCAGTGCAGGAACGCTTGCTGCTGTCTCATGAGGGTGAAGGCGACGATGGCCGTGTCGCCGCCCCAGTTACTCGGGTTGCTTTCGAGGTGTTCGGCTTCCTCCAACCAGGCTTCCACTTGCTCTTCGTGCTCTTGGGACGCCGCGTTCTCCTTCAGGTACTGGATGATCTGGGAGCGCAGGTGGACCCCGTTCTCGCCGCTTTTCTCCGCGAGCGCGTGGAAGATGCAGTTGCCGTCGCCCGTCATCTTCTTCATGGTCAGCATGCCCCGAAAGTGCTCCTGTCAGGTGTAGAGCCGTCGCTAGAATGGACCTTCTTACATCATAATGGAGCCCCGAGCGATGAAACTGGCCTCGATGCTGGGGCCGGGCTCCGATTCGTGGTCGGAATCCGGCCCGGCGCCTCCTCGTCGCGCAGTCGGTTCTGCACGAAGTCGTCCAGCGGTGCTTCTTGCAAGCGTTGCTGGATGGTTGTTGTCGCTTGCAGTCGCGGTGGCGGTTGTTCTTTCGGCCTGCACAGCGGCACACGGTTCGAGAGAAGGGGTGCGTGCATGCGGTTTCGAACTCGCGCGCTGCTATAAGGTCACCCGAGTCGGGGGTCAAATCATCTCTTTACGTGACATTAAGTTCTTGGCGTCGAAGCATGCGGCTATGTGTGTAGATATATATGCTTCTGGCTATCCGAAGAATAGAACCTAATTTGTTGCAGAGCAAGCCGACGGCGGGCCTGCCTCGATGCTGGGCCCGCTTTGTTCCGTGGCGTTCGCATTGGCGCCGCCCCGTCGTGCTGCAGCGCCGCGATGTCCATGAGGAGGGCCCACCGCGGCATCTGAATCGGATTGCTCCGACAAAGCTTTTGCGGTGACCCTTTCCGCCTGCAGCCGCATTGATCGAGGAGCTGCGCGGCTGAATTAGGCTGCGTGCCGCGCCTCTGCCATTTGGAAAGCGTCTTCGAGTGCGGAATCGTCCTCGGCCGTCCACTTTGTTGGCTTCGGTGGTCTCGGCGCGGGAGCCTGCAGACTGATTAATGCACAGTCTCTGCGTCTCCCAAGCGTTCTTTTCAACCCTCAAGGCAGTGCCTTTTTGCGTCGGTGCGCCCGTTGCTGTCCACTTTGGCCACTGGCCGACCTTCGTGTCCGGGATGTCGTCGGATGCGTCTTCCATGCCTCGGTGCGGGCACATTGCGGTGGAGGCTGCTCGAGGGTTCCAACGTGAGTCCGCTAGCCATCGCTGCCGTCGAAAGCTTGGCGTGGAGCCTCGTCGATTTTGATCATTCCGGCCTCGCTGGGTTTCCCACAGAAGCAACGGGATTCATAGGACGGCAGGTGCTTGCATTACTGTGGTCGAATGCAGTTCTGGGGCGGTGGCTGGCGTCTTCAGCGTCAAGGAACACTGCGTTGCCAGGTATTGCCTCTTGAACGCCTCGAAGTTGAAACACCATCCGGTCCCCTGCGCGCGCCAAGATCCGGCCGTCTGTCTGCCTTCGTCTCTGCCTTTTTGTTCACTCTCTCTCCCTCTCTCTCTCTCCCTCGGTAAACAGGAAGATAGGGACTGAGTGCGAGAGAGTCTGTATGCCTTGACTGCTAGCTTCCTGCATGCCACCTGTTCCTCCTCGTCCTCGACATCGGCCCATCGGCGGCGGTTGCTCGGGTACATTTCCGTTTGACCTGCAGGGCCGGCGGAGAAGGTTCTGCTGCCATTCCTTCCCGCTTACTGTCGGAAGCGGCTTCGGCCTGGATAGTCGCCGAAAGGTGCGGAACTTCTGCTCTTGATGCTCTTGAGCGCGAATTGGGCTGCGGTGCCAAGCTAGTGCTACTAGTGTGCTCTCATTGCAGGCATGATGGCAGTGACGTTGGCTTGCAGCTGGTTCCAAGCAATTTTTCCGCTCGCTCCTTGCCGTCCCGTCCCAATCACTTCCACCTATTTCAATGGGCCGGGGCTGTCTCGAACAAGGCAGCGGTCTTCTTGTCCAGACCGTCCAACTCAAGCCAGCCAAGATCCGATGCCGTCCCATACTTTTCCAGGTGGCTTGCGAATCCGTAGACAGGCAGGGGCTTGTTGATGCCGCGAAGGACGGAGTCGCCGCACATGGCATAGTGCAGGGCATAGTAATGGAATTGCATGCACTCGCGCACTCCTCGTTCGTAGAGCTCCCTGCCCACTCTGCGCTGGTCCAGAAAAGCTGTTTGGCATCTCTGGCCTGCTGATTCCCACAAGGTACGGAAGGAAGGGTAGTGGAACCAGCCCAGCTTCTTGGGTGTCCAGCCCAGGTGCCTCATGAGTTGGGAGAAAGTCCGGGAATCTTCTTCGGCCGGGCCTTCGTGATCTGCCGCGTCGCGAAGCCAGGCCTTCATGGTGTTTTCTGAAGGACAAGGATGGCGTTGCACGAAAGCGGCGAGTTCTTGCTCTTCCCGAAGGACTTGGGCACGAAGCTCTGCGTCTAGCGGGAGAGGCTGACTCGGCTGCACGAAGATGCTTGGCCGTATCGGTTGCTTCGGGGATGTTGGCGGAGTGGGCATTGAAAAGCTTTCTTCGTCGCTGCTGCTGTCGGGATGGTCCCATCTGGTGTAATCGATTGCCGCCATCCTGCTACACAGCAAAACGCCCTGGTCTCGAAGGGCCTTACCTGCTTGATTCTCAAACCTTGGGCTGCAGCAGGCATGGGCATCTCAATCCCTTGGGCTCTGGACTCAATCCAGAATTTTCACAAGCGCATGGACTAACGAGGACAGCTGCGCAGTACACTCCATTGTTGCCCGGCTCGGGGAAAGGTCGCGATGTAGCCGTAGCCGTTCTGTGAAACTGATTTTGTCTGCGGCTCTCACCGCCTGCGGCTGATTCAGGATCACTTCGGGCCCTGCAAGCAAGCTAGATTTCGTGATACAGCTCAGCCGAGTTGCGACCAGCGCAATACCTTGGCAGGCACATGCTGGCCTACGAAACGTAGGGAAAGGCTTGTGCGGACTCGAGGTTTTTGCGTTTAGATGCAGTCTGGAGGCGGCTTTCGCCTCATCCGGCGGCCTTAGCTTCGACCGGGAAATCGATGCAAGCATGGCACAAGCCTGACGCAAGCAAACTCTTGACGTGGACGTGCTTGCTTGCAGCCGAGTTGCGACCAGAGCAATATGCCTTGGCAGGCACGTGTTGAGTCAATATGCAACGCATGATCATGTGCGACGTCGCCCTCGTACCTTGGCTTCGGAGGGGAACTCGATGCAAGCATGGCACAAGCCTGACGCAAGCACACTCTGGACGTGGACATGCTTGATTGCAGCCGAGTTGCGATCAGAGCCATGCCTTGGCGGACGCATGCTAGCCTACGAAACGTCGGGAAAGGCTTGTGCGGACTCGAGGTTTTTGCGTCTAGATGCAGTCTGGAAGCGGCTTTCGCCTCGTCCGACGACTGTTTCGGGCTCTCGCTGGACCTCTGGCGGGAACTGTTTCGGGCTCTCCTGGGGACTGTTTCGGGCTTCCGCGGGGACTGTTTCAGACTATTTGGGGCTCTCGCGCGGACTGTTTCGGGCTCTCCTGGGGACCGTTTCGGGCTCTCGTGGGAACTGTTTCGGGCTCTGGCGGGGACTGTTTCGGGCTCTCCCAGGATTGTTTCGGGCTCTCGTGGGTACTGTTTCAAGTTCTCCCAGGATTGTTTCGGGCTCTGGTGGGGACTGTTTCGGGTTCTGGGCGGACTGTTTCGGCGTCTCGTGGCCGCGAAAGGTTTCCTTCTAACGCCCCAATAAGCGAAACACTTCTGCAAGAGGTTTATTTTCCTAACGCCCCAATAAGCGAAACAATTCTGCAAGAGATGTTCATTCCTTATAAAGCCCCAATAAGCGAAGTAATTCTGCCGGAAGTTTTCCTTCCTAACGCCCCAATAAGCGAAACAACTCTGCAAGCAATTCTCATTCCTAACCCCTAAAAACTCCTTGAAAGGCTTGTGCGGACTCGAGATTCTTTCGTCTAGATGCAGTCCGGAGGCGGCTCTCGCCTCGTTTGACAGCGCTGGTTGTACCTTGGCTTCGGCAAGGAAATCGATGCAAGCATCACGCAAGCACGACGCAAGCACGCTCTAGACGTGGACATGCTTATTTGCAGCCGAGTTGCGACCAGAGCAATACCTTGGCGGGCACATGTTGAGAGAGCGAAACCTTAAACCCTAGGACCCCTAAACCCTAACCCCTAGGGCCCTAAACCCTACGAAACCCTAAACCCTAGAACCCTAAACCTTCAACCCCAGGGCCTTAAACCCTACACCCTATGGCCCTAAACCCTCAGCCCGAGGGCCCGAACCGTAGCACCCTAAACCCTCAAAGAGAGGGCTTTCCTAAACCCAAAACCCTAGGGCCCTAAGCCGAAAACCCTCAACCCTAGACCCACCTAGGGCCCTAAACCTTGAAAACCCACAACTAGCACCTTCCCGAAAACCCACAAACCTAGCACCTTCCTAGACCCTAAACCCGAAACCTGAACCTTAAACCCTAGGATCCAAAACCCTAAACCCTGAGCTCGAAACCCTAAACCCTAGGACCCTGAACCCGCAACCCTGGTAAACCCTACACCCTAGCTAGGCTAAACCCTAGGGCCCTAAACCCTAAACCCTGGGGCCCGAAACCCTAAACCCTAGCACTCCAAACCCTCAACCCTTGGGCCCGAAACCCTAAACCTACAAGCCTAGGGACTGAAACCCTACAATCTAGGGCCCTAAACCCTAAACCTCCGGGCCTGACACCTAACCCTCAACCCTAGGGCCTTAAACTCTAGGGTCTCGGGCGCGAAACCATCAAATTTAGGACCTTCAACTCAACCCCAATCCCTACACCCAAGGGCCCCCAAACCCTAGATTTCTAGGAATTAGGACCCGAAACCCTCAACTTCAACCCTACACCCTGAACCCCTAAACCCTAAACCCTAAAACCGGAAACCTTAAACCCTAGAACCTTAAACTTAAACCTTCAACCCAACTTAAACCCTACACCCTAGCTCGAGCCTTAAACCCTTTGCCTTCCACACCAAACCCTAACACCCCAAACCCTAAACCCCTACTCGCCGAGGGTCTTTGACCTAGGGCCCTAAACCTTAAACCCTGGAACCCTAAACCCTCAATCCCGAAACCCCAAGCCCCAGGGCCCTAAAGAAACCCTCGAACCCTAAGGCCTTAAACCCTAAACCCCAGGCAAAAACCCGAAACCTTAGGACTCTAAACCCTCAACCCTAGGGCCTTAAACCCTACACCCTAGGGCCCTAAACCCTAAACCCTGTGACCCCAAAGCCCCAAACCGTACCCTAAACCCTAGCCCTTAAACCCTACACCCTCAACCCCTCAACCCTAAACCCTAGAGCCCTGAACCCTCAACCCTAGGGCCCGAAACGTTAAGACCCTAAACCCTCAACTCTAGAGCCTTAAACCCTACACAAGCCCTAAACCGAAAACCCCGAAACCCTAGATCCTTAAACCTTAAACCCTAAACCTAGAACCCGAAGAACCCAAAAGGTGTAAGGCCCAAAACCCTAAACCCTCGGACCCTGAACCCTGCTTTCCTAGGGCCCTAAACCCTAAACCCTAGGGCCCTATCCCCTAGGGCCCGAAACCCTACCCTGTAAACCCGAGGGCCACCCTGATGCCTTAAACCCTAAACACTAGGGCCCCAAACCCTAAACCCAAAACCCTAGCCCCTTAAAACCTACACCAAAAACCCCGAAACCCTAAACCCTAAACCTAAACACTCGGGCCCGAAACCCTAAACCCTAGGACCCCTAAACCCTAAACCCTGCAAACCCTAGGCCCTACACCTTAAACCCTAGGGCCCGAAACATGCTTATTTGCAGCCGAGTTGCGACCAGAGCAATACCTTGGCGGGCACATGTTGAGTTAACGTATATGTTGATCATGGGGAGTGTGAAGATCCTTGAAGGCACCCCCCGGATAGATGATTCATGATGAATCCGGGATAGCCTTGTTTCAGAATGCCTTGTCAGAGAGTGTCCCTCAGTACACGCTCCTACTTCCGTAGCCCGTGCCGGATTAGAATGGCAGAGAGGCTTCACCTGTGCTGGGTTCGCCGACTTCGGAGGAGTCGACAGCCCGGTAGTAACGCGCACTCGCCATGCGAGTACACGCGTTCCCTTTAACAGGTTGGACGGAAGATCCCGGCCCGTGGCACTGAGGAACGAATCCTCGCGCAAAGCGCGGCCGTGGCACGCACCCCGAAAGTATGGCCGCAGCCTTTCGGAAATGCTCGGGAAAGCATCCTCGGCCTTTTTAGGTATGTGGAGGCCGCTTCGCTAGTCAATTGGCGCGTACAGCAGTCGCTGTAGTTCAACGCCATTACTAGCTTCCACAAGGACAGCAAGGATGCCCCCTTAGGGGGCGAGCGGAGCGTCCAGAAACGCACTGTGTGTACGGGGGGGGCCGGGGGGCCCAGATTGTCACTTTTGTCGGCGTTCACAAATTGGGAAAAGGACAAGACAGACTGGCGTGACAATCTGGAGGGCCGGCCCGTGTGTACATTTAGTCGCGCTTGTCCTTTTCGGAAAAGGACAAGCAGCTCTAAATCCAGGATTTTGTGCATTTAGTCGCGCTTGTCCTTTTCGGAAAAGGACAACCAGCTCTAAATTCGAGATTTTCTATTTCTTGCCTCCGGAAATTTGGAAAATTGCTGGTGATTTTCAAGTGACAAATTCTGTTCATAAAATGTGCCTTTTAATGAAAGCCGGCTGCGAATCTCGAGGTCCCCCCCTTTCTTTTCGTGTGGCTGCTCTTAGCCTTCCGGTTTTCTACATTTAGTCGCGCTTGTCCTTTTCGGAAAAGGACAAGCAGCTCTAAATCCAGGATGGTGTAGATTTAGTCGCGCTTGTCCTTTTCGGAAAAGGACAAGCAGCTCTAAATGTACACACGGGCCGGCCACCAGATTGTCATTTTTGTCGGGGTTCACAAATTGGGAAAAGGACAAGACAGACTGGCGTGACAATCTGGAGGGCCGGCCCGTGTGTACATTTAGTCGCGCTTGTCCTTTTCGGAAAAGGACAAGTAGCTCTAAATCCAGGATTTTGTGCATTTAGTCGCGCTTGTCCTTTTCGGAAAAGGACAACCAGCTCTAAATTCGAGATTTTCTACTTCTTGCTTCCGGAAATTTGGAAAATTGCTGGTGGTTTTCAAGTGACAAATTCTGTTCATAAAATGTGCCTTTTAATTAAAGCCGGCTGCGAATCTCGAGGTCCCCCCCTTTCTTTTCGTGTGGCTGCTCTTAGCCTTCCGGTTTTCTACATTTAGTCGCGCTTGTTTCTTTCGGAAAAGGACAAGCAGCTCTAAATCCAGGAATTTGTAGATTTAGTCGCGCTTGTCCTTTTCGGAAAAGGACAAGCACGACTAAATGTACACACGGGCCGGCCACCAGATTGTCATTTTTGTCGGGGTTCACAAATTGGGAAAAGGACAAGACAGACTGGCGTGACAATCTGGAGGGCCGGCCCGTGTGTACATTTAGTCGCGCTTGTCCTTTTCGGAAAAGGACAATTAGCTCTAAATCCAGGATTTTGTGCATTTAGTCGCGCTTGTCCTTTTCGGAAAAGGACAACCAGCTCTAAATTC